CGGGCCGCATCGCCGCACCACAACACCCGACACTAGCTGCCCCCATCACCCCCCCTCTCCGCCCGCGCATGCGCCGCCCCCAGCGTCTGTCTCTAGCGCCCCACTCCCTCTCCACCACCCCGCCGCCCACCACTCCTGCATGATCCCTCAACCCCTGCGCCTGGCAGCGTCCACCACCCCCCACACACACACACAAACACACACACGCACACACACACACACACCGCCCCCCCCCCCGCAGGTACGCCATCTGCCCGATGGTGGCCGCGGGCCGCATGCTGGGCCCCGACCAGCCCGTCATCTTGCACCTGCTGGACATCCCCCCCGCGGCCCAGGCCCTGGAGGGGGTCAAGATGGAGCTGCTGGATGCGGCCTTCCCCCTGCTGCAGGGTGCGCGCTCGCACTGATGATATTACTGCCCGCCGCCGTGACAGCGGGGTTGGGTGATGCATGAGGCCGCCCGCGGCTGGTGTTCAGTGTGTGCACCGGCTGCGCGGGGCCGCGCGTGTGAGGGGGGAGCGGCGCGGCAAAGCGCGCTGCCTGGTGGATGGCGCGCACAGCGGCGCGGCAGCGGGCGGCGTGGCTCGTCCGTGTTCGGGTGCCTGGCCCCCAACCCGCGGTCCAAGCCGCGCTCGCAAGACCGCGCGTGCGTCTTGCCGATTTCTTCCTTCTCGTCCCGCAGCACCACACCATGCAGTGCGTGCACACACGCAAGCACACACACACACACGCACCAACACACACTCGCCGCCCCTAGGCATCGTCACCAGCACTGACGCTGACGAGGCGTGCAAGGGCGTGGACGTGGCGGTCATGGTGGGCGGCTTCCCCCGCAAGGCCGGCATGGAGCGCAAGGACGTGATGGGCAAGAACGTGAGCATCTACGCCACACAGGCGCGCGCGCTGGAGGCCAACGCCAGCAAGGACGTCAAGGTGCGCGCGCGCGTGTGCATATTTGTGTGTGTGTGTGTGTTTGTGAAACGTGTGTGTTTGTGTGTGTGTGTGTTTGTGTGTGTGTGGGGGGGGGGGCGGGGCGTTCGCGCCGCAGGCCGTTGCCAGCAGCAGGGATGGCAAGGGGTGTGTGAGGGGGGTTCAGAGG